AAGAAATCATAACTAAACTTTAACGACAACCTTGAGAAGAGTAAAACTTACCGTAACCGCGAAAGAAGTTCACTTTCAATAGCCTTATCCAATTTGGCAGCAACTAATGCCTTTTCTTCACGGCGTTTCTCTCGTCGCTCGACTTTACGCCCTACTGGTATGATTTTCTTTTGTCTGAAAACTTTTAACTAAATTTGAACAGAGATGTTAGCTCTGTTGTGCGGGATACTTACGTCCCCTTGAGAGCCATTTTTCTCATACGAATAAGATACTGATGGATTCGAATGAGACGGGCTTTGCATTTGTGACGAACGTATTCACTCCAGTGGAGAAGAGCATCACTAATTCTGTTCCAAGGCCTGAAAATTCGTCGGTGATTGAAGAATAAACGGGCAAGGACATAAACAAAAGGTGAAAGCGCCGAAAACTCAAGATGGCCAAAACTGATCGGAAAGTAGGAGTGTAAAGAAGCAAAAAAAAAACACAGTGGCAAACTACCTTATTCATGTCCTTTGAAAGTTTCGTCTTTTCCCATAGCCTTCTTGGATAATGACTTCTTTCGATAACTTTACAGTACAAATAAGCAAACACCTAAAAAACAGTTAAAACGGCGAACGTCCAAGAGCAGTAATAATCGAAGGGATCCTATCTCAAATCGCCTTCGTAGATAGAACATTTTAGAAAGTCAATCTTCCCTATTCACACTCCACTGGTGGTGCTCCATCCCACCCCCACTTCAATAGACAGTATGGAGCTTGAGCAATGGTTGTAAGAAATCAGGTCTGAACAAATTTCAAGGTTCCGCTAAAACAAGACTTTTATGGAAGAGCGCATTTGAAGCTAGCCAGCGAAAACACTGGAGAACCTACGAAAAAAGCGTTTCTCAGCATAGAAGCTAAAACAGATGGATGTGAAGCTCTCATACCTAGCCAAATTATCATGGCCCATGGAGCACACTAATTTGTGTAATGGATTGTAAAATGGCAATGTAGCATTTAACTACGATTCTGAAAGCTCACCACAGGCTGGTAATGAATTCGTAAATCTCGACTCATTCCAACAAGCAGGCACGATCATACAACCGCCCACTCTAATTTGACCCGTGACAACGTGCAAAAAAGATGTACCCAAAAACGTGATTCCTCAATCCCTTATGCGACTTTATGGATCGGGACAAGCTTAGTTACAGAACCGAATAGAGCAACAC